CTAAGAGACTGATAAACAACTCAGACCATCTTGTGGGTTTGAGCACAAAAGTAAATTCAGAAGCGAAATACAGGAACAACTAGGCCTAACTAAGCGGAGTACTAAAAGTTGAAGCACAACTTGTCATTGTTAGACACTAATGAAAGGCACAACACTGAACCAATGTGACAACGGCTTAGATTATTAAACTCTTCAGCCCCAGTAAACTGACCACCAAGAGCTTCTCTTGTACTGAACCAATTTCACTATTACAAATGCAGGACGTTTGATTAGGCCTTTCAGGCTCCGTTTACACGGAGACGGAACGGGTGTTATCCGCTACAGTTCTCTATCGTATGGACGGTTCGTTCACACGAGGCCGTAACGGAACCGCGGAAACGGAGCCCTCAAACGATAAACGATAAGGTGGGTAGAAAACTCTGCCGTGCTGGGGGGTCTGCTGGAGGCTCCTGCTGGGTGCACTGTCCTGCGAGATACCGGGACCTGGCTCGAAACACTTGGACCACTGTTGTTGTTGTTATTGAGGGGGTGAGCAGGAGAGGTGGGGAGAGGCGGGGCTATGGCGTATCGGGCGTACACACGGAGCCGTTTGACTCCCCAGAGCGTTCCGTCCGCAGATCTACCCGTTATCGTTTGAGGGCTCCGTTTCCGCGGTTCCGTTACGACCTTGTGTGAACGAACCGTCCATACGATAGAGAACTGTAGCGGATACAACCCGTTCCGTCTTCCGTAGATCTGGACGGAAGACTTTTTTGATATCGAATTCGGTTCGTTTTCGGTTAAACGGAGCCTCAGACACTCACATCATTTGTAAGTGCAGACAAAGTCATTAACTACTATTAGCCGTTTGGCAGCGGTCAGGGGACAGCCCACTCACACAAAGGCATGCTCAGTTCTGCACAATGAAAAGAGTTGACTGTTCCCTTTAAAATCCTGCACCAGCTGGTCCTAAACTGGGTTCAGGATACATTATGTCCTGTTCATACAGAAGGGCAAACAGGCAGTCTCACCGGAGACTGTGACTGTCAGTAAAAAATTAAATCTTTTTTTCAAGGAAACTGGAAATACCAGATCCTTAAAGGTGGGGTAGGTAATTTTGGAGAAACCAGCTCGAGTGCGCTAGAATTTGAAAATACACAGCCGGAAAAAATCTGCCACTTCCTTATAGAGCCCCTCCTCCAATACACACGAACACGCACATGACCAATGAGGGCACGAGATAAGTTTGTGCACAGATGGAAGGCTGACAGGCAGGTAGGCCATCCAGTTATTTTAGCCGGGCCGGCTAAAATGATTGGTCGTGCTTTTTACAGTACTACGGCTTCCACAGATGAATTTTTTTTATGGATTTTTTGTCAAAGCACTTAAGATATTCATTGCTATCGGGATGTTAAGAGCATTCCATGGAATATAACAAAAAGTGTATCTCGAGCCGGTTTCTCAAATGTACCTACCCCACCTTTAAGGCAGAAGTTGGAATATGATTAGAGGACTGATGTCACTTATAATCTAATGCTTTTTCAAGAAAACATACTTAAATGTGTGTGTTTTGTCGAGGCAAAAATATGCAGTTTACTGTCATAGAGGAGTATGGAAACCAGAAAGCATCCACATTAAAGAAGCTGGAATACGATTATTTTTGACATTTTGAAGATAAAATACCAATCTATGAGATAAAAATAAAAATGTGTAAGATAAAAATCTGTCAAGTTGATGAAGGAAAAGTGAGAAATGAATGTGACTACCTCCATTCTGTGACTCCTCGCTTATCTCCTCCTTGAGATATTCCAGGAGGCCATCAAAAATTTCCAGGAGGTTCTCGGTTGAATCTTTGTCCCCTCTGACAACATTTTCTCCTGCAAACACACAGCAATTATCAGTATTACTTTCAGTACTTTTGCAGAAGAAAAGGGTCGATTGTTAAAGTGACCTTGTGTTTTGGTTTACCCCTTCAGAACAGAAGGATATGGGGACATGCAGCCAAAGATAAAGTGACTTGAAAGTAACATTTTCTACCATCTGAAGTATGTAGCAGTTCATTTTAGATGTTCTTATTTTATACATGCCTTAATAATTACTGTTGCAAAGAGTGAAAGTGCATTATACCTGTAATGTGTGAGAGGCTGATCTGAAGGTAATCCAGGGAGAGTGAATCGATTACAGACTGAACGTTATGGGCTTCATCCTCTTGACTGCATGGCGCTGCAATGTAATCTAAACAAATATATACACATAGACAAATGTTAAAGGAGAGGTGTCATGGCCATTTCCACTGATCATAATTCCATTGTTGAGGTATACTAAAATAGATTTATATTGTGCATTTTTCCAAACTCACATTGGTTTCTCATACAGCATCTCTGTAAACTACTTGTATTCACTGAATTTCACTCTCTGCCTTTAACGGCTCGTTGTAGCTCCAATAGCTCCAGATCGGTAATAACCGGAAAAGCATGACACCTCTCCAAAGCATGTATGAGACCAGAGAAACAGTGGAATCCACACAACCGTACAGCAACATGCATACACACTTCCTTGAATACATTGGGCTTTTACTTCCTGTACTTAAACAAGGCAGGAAAGAGCTCAGCAACCTTAACGGTCTCATGATGGCATATATAATGGTCTCAGGAAGCATTCCTCACATACTAAGCACACTCAGGAGATCATGCACTGGACTAAAACCTCACAGCTTGTACAAGCCTACACTGGCCTTGTGATTAAAATGTATATGCATCGTTTGGTCTAAAAGTAATATTTATTTTCATCAGATTTCAATCGATTATCTTTTGCTATATACATTAATAATCATTTGCTTAATAAAGCTTGTTAGGTCAGTCTCACCAGCACGTCAAATGCTTTAGAAATTCAGTATATTATCCAATTAGACAGCAATTCATCACAAATAAGCTGTAAACGGTCAATAGTTGTAATTCTACTCAACAAAAAATTAACAAAAAAAATCAAAATAGGTGCCAATTATTTTTTTAACCAATTGTGTCGAAATTTGGTTGATCTGCAGCTTGCTCTTACCTGGAACCTTCTCCCCCAAGATGTTTTCGTACAGAGCAATGAAAACATTTGCATCACAGTCCGTCAGTTTCCTCAGCCTTAGGTTTATGGCACACTTGCTGAGGAGATCATTTGCCACCTCTACCCAATCTGTAGAAAGAAAAGCAAAAGTCTTGTTCATCACCAACAATCAAGTCCTTAAACAGACATTTGGATGTAATATCTAGAAAGTCTTCCTATAACTATAGAGAATAGGGTTACATGTACCATGTATAAAGAGCCAGTTTATCAAATCAAAGTTTATTTATATAGCCTAATATCACAAAACATGTTTTGTGATATTAACATTAATCAAAAGTCAAACATTAATGTCAGTGCTAAAAGATAAATACAATTACAAGAACATAATAAAAAGACAAGATAGAATGTAAAATACAATTAAAATAGATACAAATAAAAAGGAAATCTAAATACAATCAAAATGCCAAAAGGAAAGTCTTCAGCAAAACAGTCTTTAAAGTTTGGACACTGTCTGCCTCCCCAATAAAAACAGGACGTTGTTTCCAAAGAAAGTGAAACGGTTAGCTGAATGGCTCATTATTGTGACATTCACTTGTTATTTATTTATTTATAAAAGCAGGATCAGTACCTCCTCTAGGGGTGATACTATTAATCACGAATGCCCATCCGCGGCAAACTTAAGTTTGAGAGCGGGGAGTCATCTCTCCCCGTCTTAAAGACAATATCTACCTTACTACTAATCTTACACTCATTTTCATCAAGGTACTGTTAGTTGTTTGGTTTATTTTACTAATGTATTTTGAATCTAATGATAAAGATGAACTGAAAACGCTACCGTTAAAAAGTCTAACGTTACCGGTGGATGACATACATTACGTTTTTAACTAATTATAGCGATGGCCATGGATTTGGGATGCTAAAACAACAAGCAAAGTATAGTCTGACACTTTTAAGTCACCTCTGGTAGGTTTTGACACAACTTTACCGGCTGAGTTGTCTCTAAAGTAGCTAGCTGCCCGTTGCTACTTGCTTGCTAACGGGAATATCACCAGAGAACACTAAACTGTGATACTTAAACAAAACTGTAATTCATCTCTAAAGAATATGTGTGTTCATGTAATGACAGGCTTGGTGACAGTAGCAAAGCAACACAAACCTAGCAGCTAATGTTAGCAGAAACATAACGATACGTGTCGCTAGCTTTCCCCCGGACGGGAGCACAGAGCCTCGGCTGCCTTACCTCTCTCTCCCTCCTGGGTGCCCATGAAACGGCTGTCGATGCGAGGCAGTTGGAGCTCAAAATCTACCCACTAGCAGGAAAAAAGTCGTATCATTCAAAGCTCCGTCCTGACAACAGATGGGGTCACAGTTTCGGTGTTTGTTGTGGGTTTCAGTAACATGGAGAAGGAACTACCGTCTCATTTAAAATTGAAGTCTTGTCTGATTGGACGTTACGCTCGGTCTTTGTTTCCGGAAGTGCCCTCTGATGGGTGCGTACCGCCCTCTGCTGGTAACACTGGGTAAAGCGTTATAACGAGTGAAACAATTGTAGTATAGTAGTCATGGGCGTGACTGTTAGAAAAATCGGTGGGGACAATTTCGCCACATTTCAGTATAGCAGAAGACAAAAGACGTCCCTCCCCTGTTTGTTGAACCTCGAGCACCTACATGATGACAAACCAATGCATAGACCTCTGGACCACCAATATGTTTTTAAAACAATGAACGCCCAACCATAGGTCTGTGATGTGATTTGGAGTGAATTTGTACCATTATAACCACAACGAGCTAACAACTATGGAGGATAGCACATGATAAGAAAAACATAAATACAGGAATAAATAAATCTGGAAAAAATAAATGAATGTATACATTAAATAATACAACTTGAGAATAAAACAGAACACACATTATTATATATCTTTAATGTATTTCTACATTTATTTTCACTTAAATGTATATATTTATTAATTTTCACACAATGTGGTTTTGCTTGGTAGCCTTGTATTCTGTGGATACGACAACATTTATAACAAATGTACTTTCAATTGCTCTGAAAGTTTCAACAAGTGCACGTGTCTTTAACAATATTTTTGAGTTGCCATCATATTTTATTTTACTTCCTCTGACCAGTCCCATTTTTATTTGGAAGCTTTGTGTCAAGTTTTACACAGTGGAAGGAGAAACACAGTGACTCTTCTCTCTTCAATACATATTTTATAAGCTTACAACACCGGAAATTATGGCGTATTCCTGTTCTGTATAAACTGAAATCCCCTGAGACAAAAGTACAATTTGTGATATTGGGCTAAATAAATAAACTTTGATTGACTTTGATTGATGGAATTGGCACAAGACGTACACTTCACTTCAGAGCTCTCAAGAGCCAGATATACATGTTTATTAGCATAAAAAATGGTGTTGCTATTAAAGGTTTTGTCACTATCTACTCAGTAACAGGAGTTTAAGGTGTGATTTGTAACAGGTTTGAGAACACATTTAACAAGCAGCACAATACACACTAGGATAAATCAACATGATAACTGCATGGCTGGGATTGAACCCACCACCTTCTGACTTAAAGACAGCACAGCCGTATTATGGGCTGTTGTTCAGAAATGATGAAGTCATAGCCGGAATGTCCCAATCGACATGATGATAAGCACTTCATCCTGCAGCTTATCGATCACAATCTTGTGGGCTTTGGTTCTCATGAGTTATAGAGCCATCACTTTTTCACAGATCCAGAATCTTTGCAGTTCACATTGTACATCATTCCAGTTGTTTTCCTTTTCAAAAAACCTTATTTCTACACAATCTTCATCTTTTCCTTCATGTTTGTTGGGCTCCCCATCTTGCCAATAGCTGAAACCAAACCACAAATAATGTGTTCTTAACAGAAAGCACAAACAAATAAGCATGTAGTCAAATTAAACCTCATTTGTGACAGTAAAAGATGATGTACACCTGGAAACATTTAGTCACAAATTCAAAGAAATGACTGAACTGAAGAGTTATTTTTCCTACAATGAGTGAACAACTGAACCTTGTCTCCAGTGCAGTCCCATCCACCCATCTCCAAGTCCCATTTGACTCTCTGTCAGTAAGTCCAATCCATGTGGCCTGTTTGAAGCGCCTCGCAAATTCCTTTTTTACAGTAAGAGAAAGAGACCATAATAAACATATATAAAATATAAACAATCCTCCACCTTGGCGAGGACCCTCATTTGTCTCAGAGACAGATTTCATGCTCTTACACACCTGTTCATCTTTGCTGTTGATAATGATCAGGTCTGCATTTCTTTGCTGACAGTCGTCTCTACTCTCCTGCCAGGACTTTCGAATAGCAGAAATGTAATAGAAACTGTGGTTGAAATACACCCATCCTTGTTGGGAGTAATGATCTAACAAGATAACACATTTGAAGAAAAACTGTCAAATCAGAGTGAAACAAATGAGAGAAGATACATTTAGAAAACCTTTGTATGATATATTTTAGTTTCCATGTTGCAAAGCTGTATAATAAGTCTCATTCTCAATACTTACCAAAAGTACTCAGCTTCCTCTTTAAATCTTCTCCCTCAAATTCTTGCATTCCTCGACCATAACTATCTGAAAGAGAAGGAAGATAATGTCTGTGTTACTGCAGTAAACACAGAGGTTAGGGTCTCATGGAAAACTTAAAAAATGTCAGATCACTCACAGAAAGAAAGACGCAGGGAAATGTTGAGAGCAGCTTGCAGGACACACAGGAGTCCGAAGCTAACCAAAACCAGTCTCATGAGTTTGGTCTCTGTGCAGAAAACAGACATACACATGCAACATTACCAGGACTATTAGACAGCCAGGCTTGATATTGGGTTACTTAAACCATTTTTATTAATGTACATGGATGAAATAGATTAAAAATAACTTCATATTTAGTTTGTAGCCTATTTACGGAATTTCTTCTAAGCAAAACCCCACCTGATTCTGATAAACAGGAACACAAATACTTTATGATACTGTTAGACAACCTCAAAAGTTACTTACTCCTGGACAAAGCATCAGGGATGTCTTCATAGTCCAAAGTCATCTCTGCCTTACAATACAAACTCCAAAATATTTGACCCTCCAAAGTATGACAAACGTGTGAAACGTGTTTCCAGAGAGCTGCAGCGAGGTGTCAGCTGCCTCTTCTTCTTCTTTATTTTTGATGACCACAACTTTACACTTATCTTCTGTGTGTTTATGCAACTTACATTATTATAACCACTTCCTCGTTTCTTGCAAACTCAAGACTGTTTCCACCATAGATTCGTATCAAGTAAAAAATAAATAGGTCATCAAGGTCATCAGGAAGCATAAACGCCCACATTGTTCAGGCTTTGAAACAACACTTAACTGTAATTCATAAAAAAAGCTAAATGTGGCAATTTGAAGTATTACAATTAATTTCTTAATTTTTGTTAAACTTGTATACAAGAACATCATTTCGTTATGCTTGGGAATTGTAAACAGGTTATTTCTACAGTAATGTTGGGCATTTAAACATTGGTTTTATGGAGATTGACTTGCTTTTAGAGCCAGCATAAAGTCGCTGTTTGAAAAACGTCATACTATTAATGAACATTTGATTAATACACCAAGTATTAATGTGTGAAATCCTAAAGAAATATTTCTTACTATTTAACCTAAAGGGAGCTTTAAAGTTAATGACTTCAACATTTGCTTTAAGTAAACACCCTAGTCCAAACTAACTAAAATAAAGTCAAATGAATAAAACACAAAGGAAGCAAAACATGAAAACAGTGCTCAGTACAGAAGAAGATATTTTTTATAACAATAACGTATTATACTTAAATATATTATTACAAATGAACTTGAGACTAAGATATTGATTTTGTCCATGCTTGTCTACATTGTTTTTCATGTTTATTTAAAACTGAAACTCCAAATTGTTTGACGAGGATTTCTGTCTTACCAGGCGCTGCAGCAGGCACCTTGAAGTCTTCAACAGAGCGGCGGGATGCAGCATTCCTGGCTGAAACATCTTCAAAGTTTTCGTATATCGAGGAGAGCTCATGTTCTTCTTCAAGGGAAACCATCTCTTTAGTTTGGCCTCTGCAGAGTGATGATGGTGTTTTCTTTAAATGGCACTTAGTTATGATCTTACTTTATTTTATGACTTTCTCAGCATACACCCAACATTCTCTCACACCCTCTACTTCCTCATTTTTGAGTAATTTGCCTTTGTTCCTCCAATCATAACTAGCTGCTTTTAATGATGCTCAATTTGTAACCTGTGCAGATCCTACTTTTAAAAAAAAATTAAATTATGACTTGGCTTTACTTTAATGAAGCATGATATTGATCTTTTAAAAATATTAATTCCAATTTGAAATCTAATTTTTCTGATATAAAAACCATCAATTTTGGCATGAAACTAAAAGTCAGTTGAAAAAAACTCAAGTAATACAATCAACAAAGTATTGTGTTTAGTTCCCTGTATTTTGCCTGTGACTTTAACATTAGATAATGGGGTTATGCTGCATCTCATAAAATGCAGCACTGCACTTTGTCAAGGTCCAATAATAATTTTACAGTTAGGGCTGAAGTGCTTTAGTGCCACCTGCTGGATTAATGAATGAATGGAGCAGGTGTTTTCACTTAATAATCTGTGTCAAGACCATAGGTCAAGACAGTCTATGGTCAAGACACGCAGAAGACACCTGCACGCGCCGTGATAATTTCTTAACTGTTAACTTATTTTATTATTAGCTATCTGACCTTTTTGCATTATGCAACTCAGTCCCTTTTTTGTGATAGAGTAATGAGACAATTATAAGTTAAGAATTATATTGAATTATTAAATCTGCTTGAAAACACAAAAACACTAATTGGGTTTCTAAACCAGGCGCTGGCAAACAATAAGTACTGAACCTAGGAACCTTCAGATTTTTTTTTTCACTTTCAGTTCTTATTTCCTTCAAAACTTCTGCTGAATATGGTCAAAGTGTGAAAAAAAGGAATAGATAATTATTGACACAGTAAAAGGAAGTGAAGTGTATGAGAAATGTCTGCTAGAAAGAAGATAAAAGATATAAGTCACAGAAGCATGTTGTTTCTTACACGACCACTAGAGCACCTCTAGTGGTCGTGTAAGAAACAACATACACTTTAAAACGTGTCTCTGGGTCGTAATAAGGGCATGAACAATCGGCCTATATGGTCGTTTTTTCGTAGGAGGACAGGCTGAACATTTCACACAATGTTAAGAAAAAATACACTTTTTCTTACAGTTCCATCACATAGAAAACACCATATTTTCAGCCACATTTTGAAGAAAAGTTAAAGCCATTATCTTTCTTATAAACTGCAAACCTGTATTGTTATTACATATATTTACTACTGCAATCAACCTAAAGAACAATCCATAATATCATAAGAGCCTTTGTGCTGTTTAAATATATGCTGTATATAACATTTGACATTATCTGCAAACAAACATGAGCGTGTTTTCTCTCAAACACATCAGTATAAAGAACATATACAATCAAATGACACCTTTTCACATTGTCTTTAAAATGTTGATTATAGCCGAACTCAGAACACACAGTGGGATATTTGAGTCCAATGTGTCACTTTGCATAAACGGTTCAGTGCTGACTTCAGTTTAGCTGAAGGGGCGAAATACATGATATCTTAATATTCTTCAAGTTGCTGTCATTACGGTGTGAAACCAGTGAGTATGTAGAGCTACATTTTCTTTTCACAGATCCAGAAATATTCATTTTCACATACTTCATCATTCCAGCTGTTTTGGTAGTGGTTTATATTCACACAGTCTTCATTTTTATTCTGATAATTGTTGGGTTCCCCGGAATGCCAGAATCTTTAACAGAAAACAAATCAACACGTTTTTTAATGAACAGAAAGTTCAAACAACAATATTAAAAACATTTTTGAAAATGATGTTTTAAAAAAAGTACTTCTGTGGTTCGAGGACCATTTGTTTCAACACTAAATTTGATTTAAAGTGAACAAAAGGGTAATACATTTACCTTGTTGTAAGTTGTGTCCCATCTACCCATTTCCATTCTCCCTCTGTGTCTCTGTCCGTCAGTCCAATCCAAATTCTATTTTTGTATTGTCTTGTGAAATCCTTGTTTTCAAAGAGAAACATACAGTAATCAACTAATATTTAAAGAGGACATATTATGCACATTTTCCGATTCATATTTGTATTTTGTGCGTCCACTGTGACATGTTTCCATGCTTTAATAGGCTTGTAATAGGCTTGAACCACATGCACATTCCTACCTGCTCTTCTTGGCTGTCGATAATCATCAGGTCTGCACCTCTTTGCTGACAGTCCTTTCTGCTGTCTTGCCAGGTCTTCATGGTGGAAGAAATACGATAGAAACTACCGCTGAAATAAACCCATCCTTGCTGTAAATAGTGAACTGTTGATGAAAGAAAGAACTGAAATAATCTCAATTATCAACAAACAAAGTCATGACAGAAGGACATTGAAAAAGTGTCCATCCTTGTTATTGGAGAACAGAAAGAACGATAAAACCTTAAAGGTCTCAGATATATACAAATATATATAAAACATGTCTATTAAGTGTTTTGCTCAAAATACCAAACAGATCACCTAAAAAAGGGGGGGGGGGGGGGGCTCATGCCTGCTCAGAATTCTACCCACATACTCAGCTAAATGCTGATGAAACGACATATTATGTTCCAAACCAAGGATTATTTCTGAAACAGTATGGAGCTCAAATGCTTTTTCCTTTTCGGGTTTACCACAAGATGAGTAACTTTTTATTTCCTGCTTTTTTACACATACTCTCTCCAGTACAGGTTAGCTCTCAGTGTTAGCGATGCTTGCTAATGTAAACAGAGACCATATTACTTCCAAAACACGTTGAACATTGTTTCTGATAACAATGTTTCTGATTGGGCCGTGGGTGTAAAGCCAGGCCACATTTCCGACATTACGTTATATCTGCAGCAAATCTGGGTCAGCTCCGTTGTACCCCCGTTTTTAGAGATTTGGGTACGGAGGAAAAGAGAGAGGGTTTTGTTTTCTGAAACTTTGTGAGATCCCTTACACACCATGGACACATATTTATGAGACATAAAAAAGTGCATTTTGCATGATAGGACACCTTTAATATATACATTAAAGGTAGGGTAGGTAAGTTTGAGAAACCGGCTCGAGATACACTTTTTGTTATATTCCATGGAATGCTCTTAACATCCCGATAGCAATGAATATCTTAAGTGCTTTGACAAAAAATCCATAAAAAAATGTCATCTGTGGAAGCCGTAATACTGTAAAAAGTATGACCAATCATTTAAGCCGGCCCAGCTAAAATAACTGGATGGCCTACCTGCCTGTCAGCCTTCCATCGGGGCACAAACTTATCTCGTGCCCTCATTGGTCATGTGCGCGTTTGTGTGTGTTGGAGGAGGGGCTCTATAAGGAAGTGGCAGATTTTCTCCGGTTGTGTATTTTCAAATTCTAGCGATCTCGAGCCGGTTTCTCAAACTTACCTACCCTACCTTTAACAGATGGTTAAGCAAAAACAAAAATTGCCAAGGTGGTATCTACCGTATGATAAATCTGAATGTTTGCTCTTTGATATAAAGGCCCACAGGCTGAACAATTGATTTCATCATCATACTTACCCAAGGCTCTCAGAGTTTTATTCAGGTAATTTCTTCCTAAAGCCAGGTTTTTTCTCAAACATATCTCAAACATAATTCCCATTGTCTTTTGTGTTTAACTATCAATGACATTGGTGTTTGTTTCTTATTCATAGTTGATTACTGTATCAAAAGCATACAGGGAACTTGACTGTGAAGCTGTCATTTTGATTATTTTCAAGAATTCCAAATAAGTGACAACACGCTTTGAGAGGGATATTGAGTTAGATGTTCAAATGAATTTTGATATACATTTCAAGTCAATGTGTATACTCTGATGTACAGTTATATGTTGCTTCAAAGCATTCAGAGCAATTGATATGTTGTAAGAGAATTGAAACAAGGGCTTCTTGAAGTGAGAAACACAAATTAAGACAAGCATCTTGCTCCCTTTAATAAATCATACAAAGAGCAAGAAGCAGGGAAATGTTGAAAGCCGCTTGTAGAAAATGTGCCCAAAGGATTTATTAAAGTTAAAGAATTGACTTTCCCATTGTACCTACCATATTCTTCCACAGTTCTCTTCAGGCCGTGGTTCTCCTCAGTCAGGATATTGCGACCGGCCTCCAGATCTAAAACAGAATTCTCAATGTTTATCATATCACAGTTTTTTTCAGTTGCTAACACAAGCAGAATTATTTAATCTCACACTCTGCACCCTATTTGCAATTCAACTTGGCACTTTTTGCAAAACACTGCTCACGGTTCTCCAAGTAGACACAGAAATCTGACATATTCACTTGTTTGCCATTTTCAAAACACTGCCATTAAAAATGCTACACACATGAACCAATCAACAAATACATATGCCAAATGAACATAAACACCAAACTGCTTTTTTGTTGACTCAGCAATCATACATACGGAACGCCATAAAAGATGAGTTTGGGTTTGATAAGTAAAATGCTGTGTAGTTGGTTGGACAAAGTGTCTTGTACTATACAGTTTTTTCCAATTGCTCTAAAAACTGTAAAGAAGGGCTTATTTTCTCAAAACACTAAACACAATTCACAAAACCATACAAAGTGCAAAACACCTCATATATCTTGCAAAATGAAGCACTGCACCCAACACAACATAAACACTTACCAAAACCAAACGTTTGCCCCAAATGGCACACACTTCACACTTCATGGTGCTTTATCTAAAGCACACTCATCTTTTATGGTGATCTGTGTGTAGAGAATTATGCATACTTTGAGGAAAAATAAATACAAAAAAAAAGAAAAAAAGAAAAGTGCTTATGCTGCATCTCGCCACTTAGCTGGGTCTGGCCACAGCTCCTCATCAACCTGCAGAAGAAACATCACCTATAGAGGCCTGACGGTCATACACCTTCAACCGATATGCTGCAAATAACTCTTCAAATGACTTCAATTCATCCTCCCTCTCTCTCTTCCTCTTGCTGCTATCCATTTATCCATTGTTGTTGTAAAAAGTTCTTACATGAAGCCTTTTTCTAGTGCTTACAAACTGATTGCTGAGTCACCAATAAAGCAGTTTGGTGTTTATGGTCATTTGGCATGTGTATTTGTTGATTGCTTCATGTGTGTAGCATTTTTAATGGCAGTGTTTGAAAATGGCAAACAAGTGAATATGTCAGATTTCCCTCTCTTACTTAGAGAACCGTATGCAGTGTTTTGCAAAAAAGTGCCAAATTGAATTGCACATTGGGTGCAGAGCTGAAACAGAATTCTCAATGTTTATTATATTAATCTATCTATGATAATGTGTGGGTGTTAATTTCCTCTTCCTAATCTAATACCAAGTTATATGTTTTCAAGGAATTCTTTCTATTAAACCAGGGGTGTCAAACTCAAGGCCCGGGGGCCAAATCCGGCCTGTGACTTCATTTTCTGTGGCCCCACAAGAGCTCTGAAAGAATATTATATGCAGGTGTGCACATAACTTTCTCAGTGAGGTACTCAGATGAACGTTGTGATCAGCTGTTTTAGCGCAGTTCTCCAGTGCAGGGGGGGAGTCTCCCTCCGCAGCCGGTTGGCGTAGTTTTGGCACAATTACGTTGTACAGACCGACGTTAACAGCAGCCCTGTCTGTGCACACGGAGACCGACTCTGTCGTCCGGTGATCTAACCGCATTCTGGAAAAGCTTCACAAGTACGTCGGTATGCAAATGCGCTTTGTGACACAAGTGACGGTACGCATTTCAGATTTTTGCCGCACATGCGTACCTGCGTACCAGTTATGTGCACCCCTGATTATATCTTTATTATACGGTTACATGATGATTTACAGAAGCACGTTGCCCATAAACTACATGTCCCACAATGCATCTCAAATTAGACTTTTTTCTCAGAATTTGACTTTTTTTCTTCAAAATAAGCCTTTGTTCTTAGAATGTGCCTTTTTCTCAGAATTGGACTCTTCTTTTTAAAATGTTACTTTTTTTTCAAAATGTTACTTTAAAAAAAAAAAAATCACTTCCTTTTTTAAAGATGTCACTTCGTTTTTTTTAAATGTCACTTCAAGGTTCCATATTTTGTCATACGAACATACTGTAGCTACAGTGTAGTTATGCCGATGAAAATCTTAGGTCACAGGCTTCTCCAACAGTGCAACACAATAACACAGATAAACAGAAAAATATAGTGCAAGTAAATAGTAAATACAAAAAGAAAAATAGTTTAAAAAAGTGAAATAGTGAAATAGTGCAATAAGAGTCTATATGCAAGTTATTGGAATATGATATATTAGATAAATAGATAAATAATTACTAAGTAGCAGATGAATGTTATGGATGTTGTTTCAGCAGTTCAGTTGTTTAAGTTGTGGCATTCTCACTGAAGAGACTTGCAATTATTTGCCCCAGACTTCTGCTTTCAGACGTAGCTAATTATGAAGTTATTACCCTATCTGATAATAATCCAATGCAGAGGCAATAATGTAATATAATACATTATTTTATATATATATTTATATATGTATTCTTATATAGTCTTAAAGTTACAACTGGCCCTTTGAGTGCAGCCATAATGCTAATGTGGCCCACGATTAAATTGAGTTTGACACCCCTGTATTAAACTGTCACGTTGAATGGAGAGGTTACCATTATTTTCAACAGGACCAGATGATTAATACAGTATATGTTTGGTTCAGTTAAGTATAGTTGTGAAGAAAATAAATCTTGTGTTCCCTCTTACAGCCACAACACAAGAGCCAAGGCGTTATCAACAACATCTGTATCATTTCCTCTTATTAAAGGTACAATGTGTTAGATATGCCAGAATTTATATTTAAAACATGAACTAACATTATGAACAGAATGTGAAGAGCCTACAGTGTTGACATTATTTTTAAGACGTCTATGTGTTGCAGAAATATGGGGTTATGCTATCTGACTAGCCAAGGCCCGTCATGTGTTGTAATATCATTTGTTCTTCTAAAAGCATAGTGAAGGAGTTGTAGCCCGGGTCTTCCCTCAGACCAGAGGGTGAAGAAGTAGTGCTGCCACGACTCGAGCAGACACGAGGGCTTGTCAATAATTAGCTCGTCCTCTGCAGCCACTTCCTGCTGCTCGTCCAATGGGGGTACAGGATTGAACTGAAACATTATCATCATCATACTTACCGAGGTTGATTCTCTTCATCTCGTCTCTCTCTTCAGTCAGGGAGTTTTGCTGTGAAACTGTCATTTTCAATGGAGAGGTTACCAACAACATTTGATTATGTGATCAAATAAACACATAATTCAGTTTAAAAACTAAATGTCCACGGAATATATACAGAAGTCCAGAGCTCATGTATCTTTTTTATTTTAAGAATTGGTTTCCTCATTGTACCTACCATAGTTTTCCACAGTTCTCTTCAGTTCATCTCTCTCTTCAGTCAGGTTATTGCAACCGGCCCCCAGATCTAAAACAGGATTCTTATTGTTTATTATATTAATATATCTATGATAACGTATGGGTGTTAATTTCCTCTTCCTAATCTAATACCAACTTTTATGTTTTCAGGGAATTCTTTCTATTAAACTTTCAAGTTGAATGGTTACCATTGTTTTCAACAGGATCAGATGAGTAATACAGTATATGGTTCAGTTAACTATATTTGTGAGAACAAAATTATTGTGTTCCCTCTTGTCAATAATTAGCTCTTCCTCTGCAGCCACTTCTTGCTGCTCTCCCAATGGACAGGATTGAACTGGGAGATTGTCATCATCATACTTACCGAGGTTGATTCTCTTCATCTCGTCTCTCTCTTCAGTCTGGGAGTTTTGCTGTGAAACTGTCATTTTCAGTGGAGAGGTTACATACAACATTTGATTATTGGATCAACTGAAGAAAGTATTCACTTTAAAATAAAATAACCGAGCTGGTTTTGAGAGAATACAGAAGTGAGAGTCACAAATTAGGAACACTTACAGAGAGTGAGACGCAGGGAAATGTTGAGAGTAGCTTGTAGGATACACAGGAGTCCAAAACTCACAACAACCAGTCTGTTCATTTTCATTCCTGTGTGTAGAACCCAGAAACATGCACACACACGGGGGTTTATGGAGGCTGACTTGCACAAGTGGCTGTTTGAGAAACCTTACACTTTAAACTGAGATGTTGATTTTGATATATATATATTTACAGTTCCTATAAGTCATCACCCTGTGAACATTTCTACCTTTTGTCACATTACACCCTGGAAGTGATTAGCCCCTTAAAGTTTACCATTTAAAACTTGCTCAGGTGCAACCAATCAACTTCCATATAAATCACCAGGCTAATTGCCCCCCACCTGGTAATGCAAATAATTCACCATGGTTGGAAAAGTGCTTTCAAAAGGCCTACATAAATGTGTAGGAAGGCACAAGTAAGGTGAAGGCTACACAAATATATTGAAGGCTTTAGCTATCCTTCTGAGTACTGTTCAGAGCATCATTTAGAAGTGGAAAGTGTATGGCACCACTAACACCTTGCCTAGATCAGCCCGTCCGTCCAAACTGGCGGACCAAGCCTAGAGGACATTGATCAGAGAAGCTACCAAGAGGCCAAAGGCAACTTTGAAGGACTGGTCGATCTGTGCATGTGACAACAATCTCACAAGCTTTACACAAAGCTGGCCTCTATGGCAGGGTGGCAAGAATGAAGCCTTTTCTGAAAAGGTGCCACAAGCAGTCTTGTTTGTGCTATGCAAAAACACACATGGAAGATTCTGTTGCCATGTGGAAAAAGTTCATATGGTCAGATGAGACTAAGATTGAACTTTTTGGACTGAACTCCAAGCGTTATGTTTGGCCAAATGAATGGAAAAATGTTCCCCAATCTAGGCGTTCAAAGCTGAGACATATTCAAATAGATTGATGGCTGTAATTGCAGCAGAAGGAGGCCATAGGAAGTATTACATCAGGGGACTGATGACTTTTTCAACCCTGTTATTCTAGTTTTTCATTTTTTTTATTAATATTCTGAAATGTTGCCTTGTTTTCATTAGTTTGATGTTGTCAAGCTACATTTGTAAATAAAGCTGGAAAAAGTATTTTTTTAAATAGGTTGCAGGCTGGATGATAAATAAATTAACTATTTCAAAGGGGTATGATGATTTTCTATAGGCACTGTATATGATGATCTTTAAGTTTAAAATGAAGTTTACAAAATAAGGTTATTGTAAACTCAACTACTCTAAATTGTTGGACTATGATTTCTGTCTTACCAGACGCTGCAGCAGGCACCTTGAAGTCTTCAACAGAGCAGCGGGATGCAGCATTCCTGGCTGAGACATCTTCAAAGTTTTCGTATATCATGGAGATCTCAGGTTCTTCTTCAAGGGAAACCATCTCATCAGTTGAGCCTCTGCAGAGTGCTGATGGTGTTTGTCAAAGTGTCTTCTTTAAAGGGCACTGATCTTCCTTTATGTAATGATTCTCTCAGCATACACCTAACTCTCTCTCTCTCTCACACACAAACACACACACACACACACACACACACACACACACACACACACACACACACACACACACACACACACACACACACACACACACACACACACACACACACACACACACACACACACACACACACACACACACACACACACACTCTCTCTTCTTCCTCATTTTCTATAATTTGCCTTTGTTCCTCAACTCAGTATTTTATGCTTTGACTGCTGCTCTATACCTGTGCAGATCTTTAGGTACCTGATCTAATCTTTATCCTCCAGGAAGGAAAACTCTACTTTGTCATTACTGATAATGTTAATGTTAATTAAGTAATTAATGATCATATTAGTTTGTTTACTTTGTTCATCAAAAAACAAGCAAGCCAATCAAAATCCATAAGCAATGGCCTCTAAAGTTAATGCAAAGCCTAATCGGCTCAATGCTAAGGTGTTTAAGAGCTGGTTTAAAAAACTCTGAAGTTGCTGTAAAGTTGTGTAAATCAAAATCATAATCTGTGTTGATGCATATCTATGCATATTGATGCATTGTGTTATATTAATTATGTGATGTGTACTTTATTGCGGTGTTATATTAAAAGCTATATATTTTAACTACACTATACATGTAGAATGAAAATAAGCAACAACTCTCAGATCAATGGTCTGTATTTGTTTTATTACAAAGGGGTTTATCCCAATCAAATGAATTACATTTAAATTGAACATCATGTTAACACATTTTAAAATGCATTATAACATAATACACACATTATTATTAATATTTATTTATTTTTGTAAACCTACATTTAACCAGGTAAGTCCTGTTGAGATCAGAACATCTCTTTTCAAGGGGAAACTTAGTTCACACTAAGGCATTTTTCTTATTTTTCTTTTGACATTTCTATCTCAGACAAAAACAAAAAACAAACAGAAAAATAAAGATACAGTCAGTAGGTCACTTCAACATTTCATCAACAAAAAAATAGGTTTACAGTCCAATACCATCAAAAGCACATAACATAGCATATTTTAGTGGGAATGCTGATAACAGCATTCCAACTATCTGTTCTTCTATGCACGAAATTCTTTATTATTATTCCGCCCGTTATTTTGCCGGTCTTCTCCTCCCGCATTGAACATCGCAGACACTCCGTTCAAACATCAAAACGTTCAGCTCGGTCGGGAATCGATGGCTATTACTTTTATCATTCATAACTTTCATAATTCCAGAGATACATCCCATAATTCATCACATTTTTATCCATTGAAGTCAATGGAGAAAATCTTCAGACTTGAACAATCTTCATGCGAATTCAACTGCTAACTGTTCCTTCATACTTTCACTCAGAAATCTCATTCCAACTTTAAAATGTTACACATCCTTCTGACATTATTCGTGTAACACAACTTTTAAATCTGATTCTTACTTTTAGAGATATTAAACATTGTTCAGACCTTGGTACAGAGGCCGTCTTCAGATTTTAACATTAACTAGAGTGCGTGATGTCACAGAGTGTAGGAAATCTTGAAATTTGCCTTCATATTTCTTTTTAAAACTGCCAGTGAAAATGCTCCAAATGGCCCAAAACTTCACAGGTTTGGTAACGATGCAGCCATCAACGCATCTAAGCGTATTATGGGGTGTCATCAAATGCCGTTGGCATGGCGACAGATCATTCACCATCAAGTTAGTTCAAAAGTTTGCAGTTCAAATATTCTGCTGCTTTTCCAAGCCTTTTTACTTTCTTTTCTTCTCTCATCACACATTCAAGCCCCCAGTGTTCATGTATCATTTCAATCTAAATTCTTCACTTTCTTCTTACACATTACATTTCAGCATAGCAGTTTAGCGTCAGCTTTTCAGCATAAAGCATTCCCACTAGCAATTTCTTCAGGAATTGCATTCTCTAGTTATATTTATTGTTCCTTTTTATCCCACATTTTTTTCTTCTTTGATTGTTTTCCATGTCATGGTGTGTTGAGCCACCCTTTGATTCTTTGTGTCAATCATCCTTTCCAAAATAAATTGTGATTTTAATCTACTTTTCACACATCTTAAATTCAGATTTGTCCGTGATTGAGTTTTAAAAACAAGTATTTTAGCCAGAAGAATAATTGTATTCATCAACTGTGTACTGTCCTCATCCAAAAGCCCAAACAAAACACCAAAGGGAGTAAATGCAAAATCAATATAAAGTGTCTTAAGCCAATCTTGAATCTCAGTCCACAGTCTTGCAACGTATGGACAATAAAAAAATAAATGCATCTGGTCTTCCTCTTCCTCCTCACAGAATCTACAAAATGGTGACGGTTCAATATTAAAAGTGTTTTCGTAGCGATAATCTTGTAAAAAATCTTCAGTTGGAAGATTTTTGAAAAGGAATCAATTGTTGTTTTGTATATGGTTCTAAAAAATGGTTTCCAGGGTATCAGAATATTAAATTCCTCTTCCCAGAAAGAACAGACCGCATGAGGAAAATTCCTTTTCTCGGGACACTTTCCCATAATAGTGGTTTCCCATCTATTGAAACTTCTGAGTTAAACCATATTAATTGATTTTGGATTTCTTCTGGTGTGTCTGGGGGGTAATACTGGAAATTCAACCAAGCCTTCAATGCATCTTAAACAAATGGTGAGATTTTCCAACCATTCCAAAAAAAGTTGTAACAGAAGCAGCCGCGCCGAGATTGCAAAGTGACTCGAACGCGGCCATGCAAATACATAAATATAAACATTATGCAACATTAACCAGACATATGCATATGATAAACACTATTCTTCGTTGTCTAAAACTGCAAAACCACTCTTGTTCTTTCTGGTTTGAAGTCAAATGGTCTGTCTTCTTCCTTAATGTTCACAACTCGCTTGCTGTTACAACCTCTGCTGCAGCTTTGACGTATTGATTCTTGTGTACCTTGTGTAATTTTGACTTTTATTCACAATTCACACATTTCTTTTTACTTCCAAAGAAAATCATCATTATTTTGTTTATCAGTGACACATACAGATGGGGCATCTTATTTCGGACGCCAGCATACAGCTTCCTGCCTACTGCCAGCCAGTTACCTGCCTAAGACCTGCCAAAGACCAGTATCCAGGAATGTTAAGCCCTCCCACTATTCTCCAATTTCAGGGTTTAACCAGGAGATGGCGCTATATATTAAATAACTATGGCCAAACTAAGACTTAGTTTTTCACAAGAGAAAATGCAGATATTATATAAAAAACTAAAGTTAAAATCTTGTTTTTTAATGCCCCAAGAGCAATAAATCACCGACCCCCCCTCTGAGTGAATACCTGTTAACTTAACATCTTTTCACAAGCTTTTTGGAAGAAAAGACTGACCCAAGAGACCTGTAGTTGACTAAGTACAGGCCTCAATAAAGTTCTGCCATTGGTTGTGAAAAACAATGGTGGACATAGTGGAAAGTGAAATTGACAATGTCGAAAAACACTTGTTAAAAAAATCCTGAGTGAGGCTTTCATAAATTGCATTTAGCTGACGCTTTTATTCAAAGCAACTTACTATTTGATAAATGATTATTCATAACAAACATGAGTGATGTGTGATTATTATTCATGCTATATACTGATATAGGGCTAAGTAAGCAATCAATCCTGCAAATGAACCCTTAGTTGTTCAATATATTTATTCAGACAATGTGAGTAGAAATACAGAAATTCTGCTCCCACCTAAGGCCAACGTTGCAATATTACAACATTTCCCTAAAAACTTACCAAAACGTAAACATTTTTAAAACTCAGTCATTTCTGCTCCAGAGCAGTTAAATTGGGATTTGATATGTGGGGGGGGGGGGGGGGGGGTTCTGTTAGAAGGTGCAACGGGGGAGGGGGGAGAGACGCTCGTGAATTGTCAACGGGGGGGGGCCTCTCTGCACGGAGGAGCCGCGGAGAAGAGACACACGTTCACTAAGCCGAATCACAGTGATCTGCTATTTTAAAGTAAATTCAACACATATCGACCCTAAATATAGCATATATTAAGAACGAGAAAGTGTTAACATCGTTTTTTGTAAACATATGACAAATGTGCGAGGGTGATGACATCAGAGCATCGTCCTATGGGCTTAGCCCCGGACAGGTACAACAGGTATTCACTCAGAGGGGGGTAGTTACTCATTTACATGTCAAAAAGCAACATACAGTAGGCGGGTGGGGGATGGTGAACGTTTACATTTAATTTAAGGGGAGCAGTTACTGAGAAGTATATAATGAGAACTGCTACCAATGGTGGCCTATTTAGTTAAAACAAATGAATAACGACTATATATTATAATAAAATAAACACCGGCTGTTGTTATGCCTGCTGTAACGTTAACTTACTCCGTTCTCCGCTTAAGTAATTATGCCGTTACAAGCTTCATAGTTGTATTTATCATCTAAATTTGCCGAAACAAGTTTAATATTCTGAAAGCCAAGACTTTGTTTATTTGAAATCAGATGAAAACAAACTGTAACGGACCCTGCCGTGTTATCTTGATATTTCCGGCACAGACCCTTTCATACCGGCAATGCGCGATAGAAACAAGAGGAACTGCGACAGCATAAATATGCGAACACAAACCTACAGACTGCTGGAGAAGAGATATCACAGGGGGGGGGGTTGGGACACACACATTCCGATGGCCAATTCGTTTTAAACAAAGCTATATTCAACATATGGGGGTGGGGGCTGGTGAACGGTATGGTCAATGTTTGTAAACACTGTGACATTTTGACTTTATTTGATCATTTCAGTTAAAAACTAACGTTCATATTTCATATTACTGTTTTGCCTGGCTGGACCTGTAATTTACAGGAAAGGAGTGCACGCTACTAAAGAGACACGCTACCATGGAAACCAAACAATGTTGTTGCTGTATTGAAGTCCGAGTGGAAACAGTCGTATTTGGAGCGTTATGTTATAATGAAACAGCGAGGTTGGGACTCACAAAAAAAAAGTGTTACTTCACTAACTGTAAGCTTGTCACTCAGAGTAACCTACAGTTAACTTAACTGTTGGAAAAGAAAGATCAGGGGGGCGGGGGGGAGAGCTGTGATGGGCCATTAGGAGTGTAAACACACAGCTGAGAGCTGCCGTTTCATTCTGACTGTTTAAAAAATGGTAACAACGGACTATTTTTCTTAGCGGATGCATGTCAATTTAAATCAATACATACAACTATTTTTTAAATCAATAAAAATATTTTGTAAATCCATAAAAGCATTTTAATTAATATTGGGAGTCATGTCGTTACTTTGTTGAGAATGTGGCCATGTAATAAGCGGGATAATTTGCAGCGACTTGGTCATTATGGGGAAAAATAACACCCAGGGATCAAGATCCCTCCGCGATGCGACGCGGAGGGATCAGTAATTTTTAGTGAATTACTGAGTTTAGGCACGTTAATAACATTTTAATGAAGTTGAATATAGTCAACTGTAAATAAAAAGTCATGAAAGAGATAAGGAGGAGAAAAGGTTTAAGGAAGTAAGCAAGGAATACAGAATGTTTCGTTACGTAACTTTGTTGAGAATGTGGCCATGTAATACACGGGAAAAATAACACCCATCCTGATCGTTTCAATGAAGTTGAATACAGAATATTCATATTTGTCAGTGATTTCATGTCAATTCGGCGAACATAAACAATGATGATGATTAAATTAGGATTAAAAATCGGGAGAGCCGGCTCGTTCGTTTTTTTCGACTAAACAACATTATTTTGTTAAATAACAACATGGTGATGTTTTGTAAATGATTACATGTCTTATTTAGCACAGACTATGATCCTATCCGTGACATATGGATCTTAACAAAGATCCGCTATACATTAGTACCAGACATACTGTACAAGACTCCACACATGACTCCAGTGTGGAACCCCACTGCACCCCCTGGTGGATCAATGATCCATTGCAGCTGGCTTCACAATAATTAAATTTATTTATCACGGGGGGCGGTATCAAGTCAGACTGGGGGCCGGCCGGCCATCACGGACCGTGCACGAACCAATCACGACCCTCGCGTTTTAAACTGTCCAAAATAAGACGCTCCATCTGTAATGCAAAGACATTTCATGTTCTTTAATTTTTTATTATTTGAATGACTATATTCTACCCTTATTTATCTGCACCTGAACTGGTTATCTCTGTACTTATTAGTTTGACATTTTTTCTAAATATCACCTACAATTTAAACACATTCACAATTAAATGATCACCAATATCCGGTGTAAAATAAACCCCTTAACTTACATAATCATCCAGTAGTATGCTACAGTAAGTACTGACATCACTTTTTTACAACAAACTCTGAATTCTTTTTAAAATAAAATAAAAAATAGGAAAACATTAAAAGCATAGTTTACCCAGAAGGGAGAAGATTTGGTTAGTTACAAAATTGCACTTCCCTCTATAATTTTAGAACTGCTCTTCATCAACAAGACTTGGAGAAGATTCAAGTCCTCTTGTTGCAACATTCATTTCTCATATGCCTTACAAAAAAACACAACAATGGTTTGACCTGTTTGTCAAATGCAGCTCAGTCTATTTTATAGTGAGGGATTCATCGGAAAACTCAGACTTTGTTTTGAAAATAAAATAAAATCATTACATCTCTAAGACACAACACTAGGACATGATTTCAAGTTGGCATGATTGAAATAAGAGAATCTAAAAGCAGGCAGCCAATATTATAATCTCAAAAGCAGAGAAAAGACACATTTAGAAATTGCAATTACATTTTTTAAATAATCCTAAATATTGATTGATTGATTGATTGATTGATACATTTATTTCGAACAAGTAAAATAAATAATTACAAAACAAAACAAATGTTGCAGTGCATAGTCATGTAAGAGAAATCAAAACAAAAAATGACATTTACAACAACAGCAACAGCATTAGCAACATAAACAGTGCCACATCTAGTGTTCGAAAAGGAGTGAGAAGAAGTATAATTTATTTAATCTCACCCCCTTGTCCCTAAATTATTTATTTATAATCTATAATCTGCAATAAGTATCATTATTATTCATTATTATTGTTATTATTATTATTAATCTGCTTTACCTGTTGATTGACATATATACATATACACATATACATACACACACATACCTACACTGATATACATATATGCACACATACATATACACACCTACATACTCACACATATACACATAGTCAAACACCTTCCCCTTCTCTCATATTGGGAGTCACGTCGTCTCCCAATATGAGATACGACGTGACTCCAGATATCTACGTGAGAGTCCAACCCCTCCCCCACCTGGACCTCCACATTTTAATTTAGGCTGAAAATGAGAAATGCAACTTTTTCCTGTTTTTTTTCCTCATCGTTTTGTGTGCATAGATGTGGAGTTATGGCAATCTCTTCTCACATATCCATCGATTTGTAGTATAACTGCAATGGTAATCTAGCCAGCCTTCTCCTACATTTGCGGGAAATATTTGTGCGCAGTCTTCGTCCAGCTTCGAATTTCCATTTGGCTCACCTCGGTACCAGTAGCTGAAACCCCCAAAGGAAAAATAATAATACATTTCAACCTGACATCAACTCAAATAAAAATGCTTTATTGAGATTGATAGAGATAGAATAATAAATGTCTATCCTATGTCTGGTTTGTTTTCTGACATGAAATAAGCTTTTAAAGGACATCCCAAAATGTAGTTGTGTTCAGAGAGGTAGATAGGATACTAATATACAAATAATTTCTCCGAAGCTGCAGAGCGAGTGTCTGTCACAGCTCACCTTGACAATAGAAAAGTGAAATAATGAGTGAACCTTGTGGTCAGCGGAGTCCCATCGACCCACTTCCATCTGCCCTCTGTCGCTCGATCAGTGAGTCCGATCCACACGCGCTCACCAAAACTTGTTATGTATTTCTTGTTGTGGAGAGAAAAACGCACAATCACAACCACTATATAAACCGTGACATGCTATCAACCACTTCTGTGACACACACAAACCAAACATACACACACACACACACACACACGCACGCACACAGACAGGCACGCACGCACGCACGCACGCGCACGCACGCACGCACACACACACACACACACACACACACACACACACACACACACACACACACACACACACACACACACACACACACACACACACACTCACCTGTTCTTCTTGGCTGTTGACAATCACCAGATCTGCCCCTTTTTGAAGACAGTCATCCCTACTCGCTTGCCAGTTTTTATTGATAGAAGAAATGGTATAGAGACTACCGCTGAAGTACTTCCATCCTTGATAAGAATAGTGGAAAACAGAACGAACGATAAAACATTTATACATAAATTACCAGATGCTTAATCTACTAAGTAAAGTACTAAGGTGGTATCTACCGTATGACATAAAGGCCCACCGAAATTGATTTCATTATCAGACTTACCCCCGGCTCTCAGAGTCCTCCCCAGATCGTCTCTTTCCTTAGCCAGGTTTTTGTTAGTTGCCACCATATCTGAAACAGAAATTCTATTGTGATGTTTGTTTCCTTTTAATACTGAAAAAAAAGCTTTTAGGGAACTTTGCTGATGCATGCTGACGTCGGTCAGCATGCATGTTTCTTGATGTTCTGAGTTTGTATCTTTATAGTTTATTGCACCTATTGTAGGTTGCTTTGGATAAAAGCCTCAGATAAATTAAATAATATTTTGTTACCTAATGTGATATTCAGTTCCGATTAGGTACGATATTCCCCTTCAGAACAAACCCCTGATTATTGCAGTAGTTTTTGCACTACTATATACTGGTAATAATTACATTAATTATGTGACCGTCTATGTTTCATGTTTCCTGTAGATATTTAATTGCTCTTTTTACTGCACTTTTAAGTGTACAGTTTTACTATTATGCTGCTGTGTTTATTGTATTTTTGTAACTCTGGCACAACAATTTCCTTCGGGATTAATAAAGTCTTATCTTATCTTATCTTATCTTTCATCACAATACTTACCAAGGTTGATTCTCTTCAAGTTGTCTCGCTCTTCAGTCAGGGAGTTTTGCTCTGAAACTTCAATTTTAGTGAAGAGGTTACCAACAAAATGTGATTATGTGTCCAAATAAACATATGATTGAGTGTAAAAACTAATGTCTGAGCTGGCTTTGTTGAAAATAAAGCACAAATTATAGTTCAGTAAAAAAAGTAATATATTTATTTTGTATTTCTGATCCTATTGTATGTATACCCTGATGTACAGGGATATGTTTCTCAAAAGCAATCAGGGTAACTACTGTAAAGTTTGATACTCAAACCTGGGTGTTGACCATTTGCACCAGAAGTGAGAGGCACAAATTAAGACTTTAAAAGAGCAAAACAGAGGGAAACATTGAGAGCAGCTTGTAGAAAATACAGGAGTCAAAAGCTCAAGTGTCTATTTCACTTTAACAATTGACCTTATCATTGTACCTACCATAGTCCTTCACAGTTCTCTTCAGGTCATCTCTCTCCTCAGTCAGGTTTTTGCCACTGGCCTCCAGATCTAAAACAGAATTCCCAATGTCTATTATGTTCATCTATCAATGATAATGTATGGGTCTTTGTTTCCTTTTCTTAATCTAACACCATATCATGTTTACAGGAAATTATTTCTGCCAAACAATCCTGTTGAATGGACCAGATAAGTATTAAGGTATATTGTATGTTTAGTTCAGTTAAGTATATTTGTGAAGAAAAAAATATTGTGTTCCCTCTTACAGCCACAAAACAAAGAGCCAAAGCGTTTTCAACAACAGTTGTTTCATTTCCTCTTCTTAAATGTGTAAGATAAGCCAGAATTTATAATTGAAACATAAACTAATGAACTGTCATTATCAGCAGAATGTGAAGAACCTAAAGTAAAAAAAAAGGAAAAACAAAAAGAAGTACACGCTTTGAAAAGGGCAATTGTTTCATTCCTTTCCCTGAGTCATATTAAAATGTTTTTTTATTCTCTTCAACTTGTCTCTCTCCTCAGTCAGGGAGTTTTGCTGTGATACTGTCATTTTCAATTTTGCCTCCAGATCTAATTTGTGAACCCTCCTACAGCCACTAATCAAAGAACCAAGGCATTGTCAACAACATATGTATAATTTCCTCTTCTTAAATGTGTAAGATAAGTAATTTAAATGTAAAACATAAAAAAAATGAACTAACATTAACCGGATGTGAAGCGCTTACGGTGTGGACGTGACTTCAAAGACGTCTATTAGTTTTTTTTTACAGAGATTAGCATCAGTCAGCATGCTCACTGATATGCATGTTTCTTGATGTTTGTATCTTTATGGTTTATTGCACCTATTGTAGGTTGCTTCGGATAAAAGCCTCAGATAAATAAAATATGATATATTGTTACCTAATGTGATATTTAGTACTGATTAAGTACGATTTACCCCTTCAGATCAAACCCCTGATTATTGCAGTAGTTTCATCTTAATACTTACCAAGGTTGATTCAAGGGCTGTTTCTAGCTTTGTGGGGGCCTTATGCAAGATGCTGTTTGTGGGCCCTAGTTTTTACAGTTTTTTAACTACAATGGGCGGATTCCGAAGCCTTTAAGATGATCTGTGGAGATGCATCCATCTGTTACACTTTAAGAGGAAAACAGGCTAATTTCATGAAAACCAAGCAATTGAAACGTACAAAGAATTATATTAAAAAGGTAAACAATAAGGCTCCTCTACGTCAATAAGTGCAAGAGATGCAGCATTTTCTCAACAATGTATAATTTACATTTTTCATCTTCCTCAGACGTCACTCATTGGGTAACAGCCCAACGATGATTTTGACTTTATTCCCCCAAAAAACACAAGCCACAGCTTTGCTATCATTGCAGTTTAATTGTGTTTATATCCTACATTTTATTTTTAAGCATATAATGCTTCACCGAACACAGGAGGGGGCTGAACCTGAACTTTCAGCTTGGGGACCCCCTAGTGGCCGCGGGGGCCCTATGCATCTGCACAGTCTGCCTATAGGAAGACACGACCCTTAATTCTCTTCATCTGGTCTCTCTCTTCAGTCAGGGAGTTTTGCTGTGAAACTGTTATTTTCAGTGGAGAGGTTACCAACTATGATAATTGGATCAACTGAAGAAAGTATTCACTTTAAAACAAATTAACCGAGCTGGTTTTGATTATAATTATTTCAGAGCAATTATTGTTCAATACAATGAATTAAAAATACATTCACACATACTGTTGAAATGAATATTAATAAAATTTCCCTGAGTTGTGTAAATAACTTTTTATATTTAAAATGTAAGGTCATATTGCACACCCTAATACACAGTTATTTTCTTTTTTCTAAAGCATTCAGAACAAGTGATCGTCATATCTTGCACAAATTATAATTGAAACAGGGACGGTTATCACTTGCACTGGCTACAGAAGTGAGAGGCACAAATTAAGAAGACTTACTTAGGTAAATGATGAGAGCAGCTTGTAGGATACACAGGAGTCCCAAAATCACAACAATCAGTCTGTACATTTTCATTCCTGTGTGTAGAACCCAGAAACATGCACACACACGGAGGTTTATGGAGGCTGACTTGCACAAGTGGCTGTTTGAGAAACCTTACACTTTAAACTGAGATGTTGATTTTGTCTTTAATTTATCATGCAATATATATATATATGAAAAAAAAAAAAAAAATGTAAACTTAAAGATCATAATATATATATACTGTATATATATATATATATATATATATATATATATATATATATATATATATATATGATGAACTTTACATTTAAAATTAATTTTAGAAAATAAGGTTATTGTAAACTAATCAGCTCTAAATTGTTTGACGAGGATTTCTGTCTTACCAGGCGCTGCAGCAGGCACCTTGAAGTCTTCAACAGAGCGGCGGGATGCAGCTTTCCTGGCTGGAACATCTTCAATGTTTGCGTATATATTGGAGAGCTCAAGTTCTTCTTCAAGGGAAACCATCTCATCAGTTGAGCCTCTGCAGAGTGCTGATGGTGTTTGTCAAAGTGTCTTCTTTAAAGGGCACTGATCTTCCTTTATTTCATGATTCTCTCAGCATACACCTCTCTCTCTCTCTCTTTCTTTTTCTTTTTCTCTTTCACACTCTCTTCTTCCTCATTTTCTATAATTTGCCTTTGTTCCTCAACTCAGTATTTGATGCTTTGACTGCTGCTCCATGTGTTACCTGTGCAGATCTTTGGGTACCTGAAAAATATTTATTCTCCAGGAAGGAGAACTCTACTTTGTCATTACTGATAATGTTAATTAAGTAATTAACGATCATATTAGTTTGTTTACTTTGTTCATAAAAAAAACAAGCAAGACAATCAAAATCCATAAGCAATGGCCTCTTAAGTGAATGCAAAGCTTAATCGGCTCAATGCTAAGGTGTTTAAGAGCTTGTTTAAAAAACTCTGAAGTTGCTGTAAAGTTGTGTAAGTCTAAATCATAATCTGTGTTGATGCATATCTATGCATATTGATGCATTGTGTTATATTAATTATGTGATGTGTACTTTATTGTGGTGTTGTATTAAAAGCTATATATTTTAACTACACTATACATGTAAAATGAAAAAAAGCAACAACTCTCTGTGTAGCACATCAGATATAATAGTTAATGACGCGTATGGCAAAGGCCAGAAAGTTGATAGAGAAGCAGCCGCGCCAAGATTGCAAAGTGACTCGAACGCAGCCATGCACTTACATAAATATAAACGTCATGCAACATTAACCAGACATATGCATATGATAATAAATACTATCCTTCGTCACCTAAAACTGCAAAACCACTCTTGTTCTTCCTGGTTTGAAGTCAAATGGTCTCTCTTCTTCCTTAATGTTCACAACTCGCTTGCTGTTACAACCTCTGCTGCAGCTTTGACGTATTGATTCTTGTGTACCTTGTGTAATTTGGATTTGTATTCACAATTCACACTTTTTCTTTTATTCCAAAGCAAATCATCATTATTGTTTATCAGTGACACATAATGCAAAGACATTTCATGTTTTTTAATTTGTTATTATCTGAATGACTATACTCTACCCTTATTTATTTGCACCATAACTGGTTATCTCTGTACTTAGTTATTAGTTTGACAATTTTTCATAATATCACTTAAGACTTTGACCAAATGTACAATGACATTATCACCAATGTCCACTGTAAAATAAACCTCTGTAGTTAACTTACATAATCATCCAGTAGTATGCCAACAAGTACTGACATTACTTCTTTACAACACACTCTGAATTCTCTTTTAAATACAAAAATGTGAAGCTACTACCAAAGGTGGTTAAAGCTTCTGTAAGTTTATATAGATCTGCTGAATCATATCAGAGTGTTGTTGGGGTCATGTCCCCTTTATAATATAAAACATTAGCATTTGTACAAAACTCGTTGGTTTATTCTTTCATATGGCAGTGGGATTCTGGGCCCTTGCAGGTTATTTATAACATAAACGTAAGATTCTACGATGAGAGACACTATATTATACTAGACCCAGTAATGTCTGCAAGCGGATGTTTGCATGCACTCCAAATATACCACTATCTAAAAGAGAACATTGAAAGCATAGTTTACCCAGAAGGGAGAAGATGTGGTTAGGGTACAGAATAGCACTTCCCTCTATACTGTGAGAACTGCTCTTCACCAAGAGGACTGTCTTATTTAAAAATAAATGGTGCAACATTCATTTCTCATATGACTTGAATGAATAATTTATTTTGAATATAAAATAAAATTAGTACATCTCTAAGACACAAAATTAGGACATGATTTCAAGTTTGAATAAGAGAATCTAAAAGCAGGCAGCCGATTTTATAATTGCAAAAGCAGAGAAAAGACACTTTTAGGAATTGCAATTACAGTTTTTAACATTAATCCTAAATCTGAGACATGACGTGACTCCAGATATCTACATGAGAGTCCAACCCCTCGCCCACCTGGACCTCCACATTTGAATTTAGGCTGAAAATGAGAAATGCAACTTGTTCCTGTTTTTTTCATCATCGTTTTGTGGGACTAGATGTGGAGTTATGCCAATCTCTTCTCACATATCCATCGATTTGTATCACTGCAATAACTATCTATCCAGCTGTTTCTTACATCTTCGTGAAATATTTCTGCGCAGTCTTCGTCCATCTTCCAATTTCCATTTGGCTCACCGGTGTACCAGTAGCTGAAACCCCCAAAGACAACATAATAATACATTTTAACCTGACATCAACTCAAATCAAAATGCTTTTTTGAGATTGATAGAGATAGAAAAATAAATGTCTATCCTATGTCTGGTTTGTTATCTGACATGAAATAAGCTTTTAAAGGACAAAATGTATGACATAAAGCTGCAGAGCGAGTGTCTGTCAGAGCTCACCTTGACAATAGAAAAGTGAAATAATGAGTGAACCTTGTGGTCAGCGGGCTCCCATCGACCCACTTCCATCTGCCCTCTGTCTCTCGATCAGTGAGTCCAATCCACACCTTCTTACGAAAACTTGCTATGTATTCCTTGTCGTGGGGAGAAAAACGCACAATCACAACCACAATAGCCACGTTCACACTGGAGTACTTTTCACCGTACTTTTCGCGTTTAGTTCCGTTAGTATGTCGCGTTCACACCAAAAAGAGTACTGAGTGCCGGGAACTTTTACCCCCATTTTTAGTGCCTGCTGAGAGATGGTACTTTCCTGGGGGAAAAAAGTGCCCCAGTTCTGATTGGCTGGGCGAATTACAAACCACGCCCCGTAAAACTCTGAAATGTTTTGTAGAGCCGCTATTTTAGCATTAGCATTATTAGCATTAGCATTCGCCCAGCGCACAAACCAACACATCCTCACTCCCAGGTCGGCCTATAGCCGCGTTCACACCAAGTACTTTCCTGTACTTAGTTCCGGCACTAAGAGCCCTGGCGCTTTTAACCCCAGGGTACTTAGTACAGATCGCGTTCACACCGGGAGTACTTTTCCCTGAGGGAAGATTACAAGTACAGTAGGTGGCGGTAAGCACCTTAAAGTTGTTTGCAACCCGCTACAAAACAAGAGAAGAAGAAAAACTGATACAGGATCTGTTTAATCGCCATGTCGGTTTTCTTTATTGCACTCTCAAGACATAACATTAAATAGAAATATTTTAAATGTAACTAAAGTGTCAGTTGTACATGTCAGTAAACATTGTCAATATAAAATAAAGTGTCAGTTGTACTATATAATAACAGTAATAACAATATAAAATAAACTCCCAGCTGTAGGGAGTCTCAGCAGCAAACCCACCTTTATTATATATCTTCCTGAGACCCACTGCATCCGTCTGCCATAAACACTATGCAAACATACATGTTAGTTTTGGCCCATAGTGGACTCCATGTTGTGTTGTGTGAAATGGGGGGGAATTAAAAGTTTAGGTCAAATAATATTTAAAATGATATAAATTGTCATATTTGTGTATGTGCCCCTGCCATTCCCCCACAAGGTTGCAACATTGATGATAAATAAATGACAAATAAAGCTTTGCCAGTTTATAACCGATGAAACATGATGGTATCAGAATAATCACTTACATGTGATGTATAGGATGCTACACAGGTCACAAAAGATAAAGTGTCAGGAGAAATAAGCTTAATCGCCATGTCGGTTTTCTTTATTGCACTCTCAAGACATAACATTAAATAGAACAATTTTAAATGTAAATAAAGTGTCAGTTGTACATGTCAGTAAACATTATATATAAAATAAAGTCATAACAGTAATAACAATATAAAATAAACTGTCCCAGGTGTAGGGATATTCTCAGCAGCATGCACACCTTAGTGCAACGTTGTGTGTCGTGTGTCAGTATTTACAAAAACTATACCAAATAAACTGTTATTAAATGCAGTTTGTCGCTCATCCTGCCGCTGCGCCGACGCTTCCTCATGGCGCAGCGCCCACACTTCATCCTGGTGCTGCTGGCGCTCCATCTGCTGCTTGAACACTTCTGCCTGGCGCTCCATCGAGGTGAGCATCTTGTCCTCCGTTTCCTGGGCCTTGGTGAACAGCACCATCTGATCTCCACGCAGCGACTCATTCACCACGGCACGCCGGTCCTCCAACGCCTGGGCGGTGTCAAAGAAATTCGCATCCCGTGTCCGCTTTCCTAAGAGGGGAAATAAGCAATATACAATATACAAGTTTAGTCGCCATGTAGTTTTACAACATACTAGGAATGTGTTTTTTGTATTTTCACAAATAGAATTAAGGTTTCACAAATCTGAAACTGTGTTATAAAGAATGTTTAGACCCTCTGGGATAATCCAGTCCAAATAAATCGGCTATGCAGCGATTTAAGAGGTTCAAACACGGAGGATTGTTCCTTTTTGAAGAGTGCTTCATGTATGCTTGAACTTTGTTTAATGTTGTTGAGGCAAGTTAAACATAAAATAT